GTAAAATAATAATATATAGGTTACTTGTTCTCCTAAGAAAAGTTACAAAAAACAATTTTGCTGAATATCTTTGAAAACTAGACGGAACCAATTTACCTGTGAGTGAATTCTCGCAGTTCAATTTTTTAAGAGTTTGATCCTAGCTCAGGATTAACGTTGGTAGTATGCCTAACACATGCAAGTCGAACGGGATTATAGCAATATAATTCAGTGGCGAACGGGTGAGTAATGCTTATCTTACTTGCCAATTAGTGGGGGATAACCGTGGGAAACCATGGCTAATACCGCATTTGTTATTTTGTAATGAAAGGGAACCGCAAGGTTCTCGCTAATTGATAGGGATAAGTCGCATCAGTTTGTTGGTGGGGTAATGGCCTACCAAGACTATGACGCGTAGCCAGGCTGAGAGGCTGATTGGCCACAAGGAACTGAGACACGGTCCTACTCCCAAGGGAGGCAGCAGTGAGGAATTTTCCGCAATGGGGGCAACCCTGACGGAGCAATACTACGTGAAGGAGGAAGGTCTACGGATTGTAAACTTCTGTTAGTGCGGAAGAAGGGCTGAGCGTAAGTTCAGTTTTGACGGTACGCACAGAGAAAGCCACGACTAACTACGTGCCAGCAGTCGCGGTAAGACGTAGGTGGCGAACGTTATCCGGAATTATTGGGCGTAAAGGGTGCGTAGGCGGCATGATAAGTTATTGGCGGGAAATCGAGGCTCAACCTCGTGGAAACTGATAATACTGTTTTGCTTGAGTACAGGAGAGGTTAACGGAACTCCATGTGGAGCGGTAAAATGTGTAGATATATGGAAGAACATCAATAACGGCGAAGGCAGTTAACTATTCTGTTACTGACGTTGAGGCACGAAAGCGTGGGGAGCAAAAAGGATTAGATACCCTTGTAGTCCACGCCCTAAACGATGAGTACTAGATATTGGGAACTTGATTCTCAGTGTCGCTAGTTAACACAGTAAGTACTCCGCCTGGGTAGTATGCTCGCAAGAGTGAAACTCAAAGGAATTGACGGGGACTCGCACAAGCAGTGGAGCATGTGGTTTAATCCGATACAACGCGTAGAACCTTACCAAGG